CAGTTTACCTCAGGTTGTCGTGAAAGGTGAGAATACAGTTTGAGAGTATAGTGCTGTTTATTGTGTTCACTTTCACAAGTTGTGGAAGTCCCCAGACAGGATGAAACTGCTAAAATGTCTCCTCTCCAAAACCTTTATCCCCCCCACCCCCGCCTTTCATTCTAAATATTCTGTAAAGGATAGGTATTTCTTTACTGTACATTTTAGAGACAACAAATCTTTTTTTTTGTTTAATTTAGAAATGTTAAATACTTAAAAAAAATCATAGAAAATTATTGTTTATTTTTATCCGTTTAAAAAGTCTCTTTTTAGAACCGTGGGTTAAGTCAGTGATTTGAGATTGTGCAGTAAAATAAAATAAAATAAATTGCTACATAAACAGCCCATTTTATGTAAAAATCTGAGCATGTTATTCAAAGTACAGTATATTAAAGTCACACTTGGCAGCTTGTGCTCCAGAACAAAAGAGTGTTAAAACCACATAAAGCACTGACTGCTCTCCTTCCTGTAAGAAGCACAAACCTTCTTTCAGAGGTTCATTTCAGGAAGTGAGTCACAACTGTCTGTTGCCCAATTGTAACGCTCCCACCACATTTTTTAAATCTTTCTGAAAGCAATTACCGTGAGAAAACGATACTGTGTATTCCACTTTGGCACAACTACAGATTGTAGGGACTCTGGGCACATATGAAACATGATACCTAGGGGTGGGAATCTTTTACTATCTCACAATTCGATTCAATTCTGACTTTTGGGGCCACGATTCGATTCAAAATCGATTTTTCATTCAAAACTGATAATGTGAGCCCATTTGTTGTGTTCCCAAATTGTTTCATCTTCATTTTGCAAACCTCGCACATGTCAAACTTAGACCCATTCAGTAAACACAAAATGAGCCCAAATCTTTGCATTCAATGAAGACAGAGCCTGTTCAATCTCTCTTTCCTCCAGTTTTGTAGTTTCCTCTTTGTTTTGGTGCTTTCTGCACATTCGTATGTTCTAGAAACAGCTGCGTGATGACGTCAGGACATCCCATGTAGTTACAAAATGGAGGCTGATAGCCATTGGATTTGCTTTATTTTTATTTATTCATAAAAATCAATTTTGGGACGTTTTAAATAGATTCTTAATCTTTGTAAATGAGAATCACGATTCTGATGTAAAACGATTTTTTGGTGCACACCTACTGATAACTTGTGAATTATTTAAGTATTACGGTCCTTTAGTTTGTAACTACGGGAAGAGAAAAAAAAACATTTTTATGATCATTGATTAGTTATTATCAGTCTCAAAAATCAGTACCCATAATTACGTGAATTCTTG